TTAATAAATATTTCATTAGGATAAGAGTTTAAAAAACAAAACAAAAAAAAATTGTTTTATTAAAAACCTTGGCTAATTCTAACTTTTTAAGAATTTAGTGGTTCCATTATAATAAGAATCTTTATAAATCCATTTTTTACTTTCACTTACCTATATATGGAGTATATAGTAAGGGACAGTATTGCGATCATGAAAATTTTCAACAGAAATACATGTTTTGAAGTCTCCTGAGTTGAAATAACCAAGTCCCGCAAAATGGTCTGCGTGGTTAGCTCAAAAATGAAGTCGTACAAAACTTAAATTGCGTATTTGAGGTTTGTATATGGTTCCTATGAGACGGCAACTTTTTTTGTTGTCAGCTAACCGGAAGTGCCACTTTATATCAACGATGATAAACATTTTCACGATTTTGTCGAAAACGGCTCTAACAATTTTTATTAAACTCGGTATATAAGTGTATTATAAAGTTTTTTTTAATATCAGCTAGGTCTTTTCTACGTTGATGTCACTTTACAAGGCTTAAATGCCTAATGTTCATATATGTCTTCCTCTTAGAATCTTTAATTTATTTTATTTTCAAAAAGTAACTCTGTCTTATTGACATTAACTATGAAAAATGGCTAAATATAACTATTGAAAAAATTTGATAAGACCTAACCAGGTAGAAAATGAATCTCCGGAAATAATATTCAGAAGATATACATAAAATATATCGTTGGAAAGCGGAGAATTTTAGAAAAGATAACATTTAATAAATAAAGTTTTAGAAAGTAACGGAGTGGCAAAAAAAAATATAAATAAATTTCATTGTACTTGTGTAAAAGAAGAAATGAAATATTTCATGGATATGTTTATAACCTTAAATATATTTAATAATAATAATAATAATAAGGCATAGCGAACCCGAAGGTTCGATGCCGACACCACCAATCGCTTGTTACACACCTCCCTCCACCGTTCGCCGTCCAAACCCAGTCCCTTCAGATCGGCTATAATGCAATCTTCCCACCTTCGCTTCGGTCTACCCCTCGGACGCTTACCATTCGGCACAGCAAATATTAACCTTTTAGGAATTCTAAAAGGTTAATATTTACTAAAGGTAAATATATTTAAGGTTAAATATATTTACTGTAGTTTAATAACTGTAATCTGATATTATAGTTAAATGATTAGTTATCTATCATCGGCTTATTACGAAAAATCATCATGTAAACTTTTAGAAAATTAAATTAGTGAATAATTTGATTAAATTTTCTCTTTGTGATATCCAAACATTATCCACTTACAATCAGTGTGACAATTTTTGACCTATCTATGGCAGGCAATGCGAATCTTGTAATTCCATTTTAGTAACCTTTGCCATGGAAGTTTAATAATTAATAGTCGTACAATCCATAATCAACTGTCGATATAATAAATAGGGTTTTTGTTATATCAATGGTATTAATGATTTGTTAACTGCAAGCTTTAACCTTTAGCTCGTTTAAAAATTTACTTCTAAAATTTTATAATTGCCCAACATTGCCAGAAAATAATTCATATTCAAGTAGAGTGGTAAGTGAAAGTTGTGTGTTTTGCGCACCAGATTTGTTTTTTTAGAACTTTAAATTGTTACGAGAAATGATATACAGTATATCTAATATTATAATTCTTTATATCACATGAAAAGTAACAATAAAAAAACCATTGTCATAAAAAAGGGTTCGTCGTTAATTTTAATTGGTGGTAAATAAATAGATGAAACAATTAAAACACTATACCAAATTGAAGACCAGTTACATATTAATCTATTATAGTTTTGGAAGATAATTATTGTACCTACAAAATAATTCTTAACCCTCCATTCCGATTATGTTTTATTTTAACCTTTTATATAAATAATGTTACGTATATTACATACGTATATCTTTAGATACACTTATTCGGTCGGACTTATATCTTTAGAAACATCATGGTAGATAGAGGGATTTCAAAAACCTTTATATAAATTTTAACCTTTTATATAAATAATGTTACATATATTACATATTAGAGGTTGGACTTATATCTTTAGAAACATCATGGTAGATAGAGGGATCTCAAAAGATAGGAATAGTGAAGGTTTCAATAAAAACTGTTCATGAAATTACATCATTTATAACATTTGTATAATTAAAGGGATATTAACAATTTTATGTACACAAATCATACATAAATCAGATATAAAAGATTATACTGCATCAAAATATATTTTCAATTACATACACACAAAAAAAGTAAAGTGAGGTTTGTGTACATAGTGAAGTATCTTTCTGTGGGAAACAGAATCGACACATAACAGATATATTACGAGAATGATTCGATAAATTTTAAATCAATAAAAATAATTAGGTTAATCATAACACAGATACATAGTTTAGAAATCTCCAAAAATTCTAAGAATCACGCTGTGATCTCACTATCATATCACATATAAGAGATGAATAAGATTAGATCGTTAATCAAGTAATAAATAGAAGATTAGTCGTTAAAGAATATTTTAAAACCACAAAGAATACTTTTAATTAAATATATACATATTACAGATTAATTATATAATTTTAATTTGGAAAAGTAGGGCACATTTCTATATTTTATGCTCAGGACTAGACTTTTTTTTTGTTTTGTTAATTTTTTTTTAAAGTAAAACCAAAACACACACAAATCTTATTTGAATGAGGTGATTTATAAAATTAAACATAATGAAATAAGATATATTTGTCAAATGTGTAATTTATTAGTGTATGTATATATATCGAATTTTCCTTAGAATGAAAATACATTTACAGACAAATCCTAACCTAGTATGCCTCTGCTACCATTATTATTGTGGTAAAATCTAATATTGTAACAATATGTTAGTATTTTGTTTTAAAAATATTTAAAAACTTTAAAATTTATTCAGTATTAGGCCAAATTATTTTTAACCCAATTTCTATTCGTATGTATTTTAATTTGACTAACTATTTGGACAATACGTTAATCTCCTCAGTACAACTTCCTATTGAATAATCTAACCACTATGAACAGGACTCTAAAATAGATATTTTTATCATCTTAAAATTTTGGAACTCAGTTCAAAACTTTTCATATTGAAACCGTGAAAAGTTTCCATGGAATTATACATTTACAAAAATTCACATTTTTATAACCAGGAAGAAAAGGCATCTTTCATTTGCGATCAAAGACCAAACACAGTTTCACATTTTTAAAAATGTACATTTTCATTTTTATAATGTTTTAATCATTGGGAAAATAAACATGAATAGAACAAACACACACTCAAAAATTATACAATATCTCTTTGAAAAAAAAAATTAAAATAAATTAAATGTAAAATAATAAAAAGATACTAAAACTACTTCAATATAAATAAATTTACGAATCAATCTAATACACAAAAATTCATAAAAACTAAAACACAAAATAGGAGAGGTTCATCAGGCTCCGGCCAATTATCATTTCCATAAATGGGATGGGTCCAATGGAGGCAAAATAGAAACAAACTTTAAAAATATTTTTTTGTTTTTGTTCTTTTTTAATTTTTTTTTTTTACAATATTCTATTTAGAACAAAGAATTAAAATAATTTGAAACATACCAAGTCGGCTACGACAAGTCAAATGTCTATATACATATGCACAGATATAGCTTAATAAGGCAAAAACTGTTAAATATATAGTGTAATTAAAATGTGGTAAGGCAAAATACATTCCTTGTAAAATAAGGTAAGATTTAAAAATCATGAATTACATGTACTATCACCACTGGAAGGCCCAGTTTCATTGTTTTTTTTTTTCTTTTTACCAAGAGCAGAATTCAATCCCTTCAAAAATACAATATTCACTGAATATAATTAAAACATTCGCCAATACACTTCGCCTAAGCCTAGCTAATGTAAATGAAATGACTATACTTTATTAAAAAACACCCAGAATATGAGAAATTATGTTATAAATCTCAAACAATGTTTATAATTCCATTTATGTGCAAAAAAAGTTTAATAACAATGCAATTGGAAGCCATGCCTATTGTAGAAGAAAATATAGTAAATTTTTAAATCGGTATTTTATATATATGTACTATATATATATATAATATATATTTAACTCTTATTTAAGGGAAGATTGACATTGAAAAATGATGAAATTGTCAAATGTCTTAGGGCAAACATTGATAATGCACTGATATGATAAATACAGCAATTTAATGGAAGTTTAAGGCCACAGCCAATATGAGCAAGTATCCTAATCCCAAATTGACAAATCGAGAAAAATGTATTCTTATGATTTTTTTCTCCTTTTTACAAGCGATTTTCAATTCGTTTTATTTATTTATTTATTTTTTACAATCACCCGACTACTAACTGAATGGAAAGGCAACTGTTGTAGCAACTTTATAATTGTTATTATAATAACTGGCTACTTCGTTAACGAGTCAATTGGGACTGGGCTCTAAACTAAATTGACACCATTTCTGGACCTCATCTTCCTTTAGTGAGTGAAATGTTCCAAGTAAACTACACCACATCGTCAGGGTGCTCGTGTCAGGATCTTTTCTATACAAACCTCGATTTTTAATCATTCATAAAAATGGAAAACAATCTATGAAAGAAAAACACTGAAAAACATTATCAATATTGTTAACATATGATAAAAATATATTGTGATTTTGGTAACGATAAGTTTCAAAAGAAGCTATAAAATTGTTGTAATCAATATCAAAGGAAGACCTGCATCCAATATTTTGGGATACAATAGATTTCTTAACTAATTACAAACATTTATGTGTGAAAACAAAATTATTCAAAAACTAGAAATTATCACAACCAAACAACTCTATGATGATTGTTGTTTTATCTTCAAATTTAAAATGAAAAAAAAAAAAATAATAGGAGGCAACACCTTCGGCCAACCAGGTAATTTCGTTGTGGAATTAATCTGACAGGAGCACAAAGTAGTGACAATATCGATGAGGGTATCTTCACTGCGCTTGTGGGTCGCACTGCAACAGCCTCACGATTGATGGATCGCTTTTCGCACCTTCGATGAACTCATCCAATGACAGCTTTCCGTCCTGGTTCTTGTCCATCTGCCTGAAGATTTTATCGGTCCTCTTTTCGGGTGTGGATTCATCCTCTGGCATTTTCATTACTGAGCCAACCATTTTATAAATAGCCTGTGTAAAAAAAAAATCATGATTGTATTCAAATAAAAATATTTTGAATAAAACTAATATTTGAGTTACTATTAAATTTGTCAATAAGGTTCACTACTCTATAGGTAAAGAAAATAAAAAGTAATAACATTTAAATCTTTGAAACATTTAAAAATGCTCATAAGAACATAGCGAAAGGACATGTTCCATTATTTAAGGGAGAAAACAAAGAAATAATATTGATTATTCTGTTTTTTTTATTTATCCTTTAAGCACTTCCCAGCCCTTTAAGCCCTACTGGGTAACAAGTTCCGCCCACTTCTCCTTCCAGACGTCCCCGTCTCTAACAGCTTTCCATCAAAAGGGTCCCACCAACCACTTGAACGTATCACTCCACCTTTTCTTTCGGTGCACTCTTCTTATTTTAAGGTCATATGGAGTACGATCTGTGATAATTCTTGACCATCTGAAGGAGATGCCCAGCCCATTTTATCTTTTTTTAATTAGTAAAATCACTTAAATAAAAAAAAACAGGTGTAGATAAAAAAAAAATAGATAAATGAAACTATACCAATTAGAAATTTAAAATGACATTAAGGTGAATTTGGAAGATTTTGGTATAGAAAAAGATAATGTAACACAATAAAAATTCAAGATCCAAATATAAATTATTACTAAGTGACATTATAGGGGAGAACAAATGAAGCAATTTTTAAAAAAGTGTTTTTATGAATATGTTGAGGAAGAACATAAACAAACTAAAATTCAAAATAATATGTATTTTTTTAAACATATCTATTTTTTATTAAAAAAATTAATGTAATTTTTACTTCAGAAAATATTTTTCTACTTGATTTGAATTCTAATAGTATAAGATTATTAAAAATACTAGTGTCCTTTATTGAGACAGATTATAATATTTATCAATAAGCAAATAATCCAAAATAAAATAAAAAATACTAAAACACATTTTTGTACCGAAAATACTTGGTCTATGCCTATGGTTCACAAACAAAATTCTAAGATCATCAGATGTCTTTCAGAAAATAAAATCGGTAAGCATATTGATATGTATACAGTAATTGTTGAATATAAGGCTAGCAAATAGAAATTTTTTTTTTAATGAGTAAAAATACATTTTGCCTCAATGAAGGGCATTGAGTATTTGCGATGTGAGAAACTCATTCGTATAATATATACAATTTCAAAAATAATAGAAATTACAACAAAAATAAGAAAAGAAAGCTTAGTAAAACAGATCAAATAAAATATGATACAACACAAATTAAAAAAAATACATAAATAAGAACAAAAAAATAACATTCATGCTTATTTACAATATATGCAGTCAGCCGAGGGAGCTCCAAGTCGGGCCTTTTCTCCAACATTTGGAAGATAAGGCAAGACTTTAAGAGATCCCAGCGCTTCTCTCTCAGCCGCATCACTGAGATGGGGATCCAGTGGAGACTGAAAAAGGGCACTAAAGCCACATATGCTCATGACTTGAGTGGAGAAGCTGGCCATTGCCAGGACTCCAATGACGTATTTACAAAAGATCTCGAGGCCACTGCCTTTTTAACCTTCGAGGAGGATTGTAGGGATGGCTGGAGCTGGATAAGGATTGTGCTAAGGGATTAGGATGATGGATTAGGTTTTGATGGAAATTTGAGAAACGGGATGGAATAACGTCAAGGACATAAGGGATGTTAAGATCATGATGTAGAGTTTCGCAAATAGAAAATAGATATTAGTTAATCTAAAAAAATCTACTTATGACAATCTTTCAATTCAATTTTCTTTGAACTAAGACTATGTTACCAATCACCCTTATTACATAAAGTACCTTTTCGTTACAACTAATATTTATGGCCAATAAGAAGATTCTTACAATTAAACTAAGAAATATAACTAATCTCCATTGTTAATTATTACCTGTTCAATACTTAATAGTGATAGTACAGGTAGAGGGAACTAGAAAAGTGAGGAGGATCCTACAATGAGGAGGATTTTTACCCTTCCAGTATTAGTAGATAGTTTGAAAGATTAGTCCTTTAGATTCTCGAGAGCAGAAATAGTGAATAACAGAATTAATAATAAACAATATTAAATCAAAATAAATAAATAATAGTTAATTTACTTTTCATTACAAATTAGTACAGGACTATTGTTACTCGTAAAATGACAAAAGGAAAATATAATAAAGAATGAATTAAATTAATTGTGTAATTTTTATATAAAATAAAAAAAATATGAGACTTACCGTGACAATTTCCAACATTTCTTGCCTAGAAATGAAACCATTTCCGTCAAGATCATACATCGAAAAGGCCCATTTCAATTTCTGCTCTAGCTTTCCCCTGGATGTGACCGAAAGAGCACACAGAAATTCTCTGAAGTCTATTGTACCATCTGAATTCGCGTCAAATGTACGAAAGACATGCTCAGCAAACTGTAAAACGATGTTCATTTGTTTAAAAACAGTTACGTTTATATGTTAATAGATACTGTGTTATAAAAAATAAATAGTATTTTTAAGCAGATAATATGTCCCGGTACAAATAGAAACTATTTATATTAATATTAATATTTAGCTTAAGTTGCTGATTTGAATTTATATGTTAATAATCCAATCTCCATGGATTAATAATTGAATCAATTAAATAAACCTTTTATTATAAATAATCCAAAAAAATATTCCGCCAAGTGAATAAAATTCAAAAAATATAATATTACTGAAACAAACATTATTCGAAAACAGTGGTTATTTGAAATGACTGACATTGAAGAAGCATGGCTCAGAAATTACCGAACTTGAATTAATAAATATTATTGGTTTAAATATACATAACTAATTTAAAATTTAAAATTAGACACTTGAATTTCAATTGATATTTGTAAAAATAGTTTTTATTTAAATTTTCACAGAAATACGTGCAATACAAATTATTTTGAAGTATTAAACTGTGATAATATGGAAGTTCTGAAAATGAGGATACAGCCCCAAAACGTCAGCTAATAAATATATTGTCTTATTTTGCTACCTACAAAGAAAAAAAATAAAATGAAGAAATGAAAAAATGAAAAATTGATTTTACAAATGAAGTTTGAACTTGAGCCAAAATTTGTAATTTGTAAATAACAGTTTATAAATAGCAATAATGCAGCAGATAGCCCATTTATAGATCTGCTCAAAAATTTAAAAAATATTTTATTATATATAAATCAAAATTTAAACTTGATATTTTTGAAAAAATAATTCATTACCTTTGAGGCATCACCATAAGGAAAAAAATTTCCATAAATTTTCTTGAATTCATCTACACTAAGATGTCCGCTGGGACAGTCTTTTAAGAAACCTTTGTACCATTCTTGAATTTCAGCATCTATAAAGTTTAAAAAAAAATTGTATTAATTTGTGGAAATTATTATTCATTTAAGCATATTATATCAACAGAGCCGGAAAAAGCATATTTACCATCGGAGGGGAGGAAGAAGAGGACAAATTTCATTTACTAATCCACATTTTACTCCTCCCACTTGAATATAAGTTAATAATTTTATTGGAACTATGTAATATATAAGGAGGGCGGGCTAACGCGTGTGCAAACTATATGTTACCCATCAACCTGACAAACCAAAGTTTACATGATAACAGAATTATGAGTTTGCGTTTTTGTACCGGTCCAGGGGAGCTTTTAACCCTGGCATTAATTCGTCTCCCTCTCCCCTGGCTCAGGAAAATCTTATAGCTTAAAAGGTGAAGAAGGGGTGGAAAAAGAAGAGCTATATTATATAAAGGAAGTGAGGTGGATGAGGGGACTAACGCCTGCGCAAAATACGTGTTGCCCTGCAACATGGTAAACAGAAGATTTTGAGAAACTGAAGTTTACATGATAAATTAATTACAAGTTTGTGCCTCGGTGCTGGGGGGGGGGGGAGGGGGGAGGCTTTTAACTCTGGTATTAATCTACCACCCTATCATCTGGACCGGGGAAAACCCGAGTTAGCCAAAAAGGCGAGATAGGAGAGAAGTGAAAAAAATTGATAAATAAAACAAAGCTAAGCAATCTATTGATTGAAATCACCCCACATTATTTCTAGATCCAATTTAAACATGTTGAATTGAGAGACTGCTTGCTCCATTTTAAAAGTTAATTTTTTTAAAAATTTTATATAACATAATTAAACTATATGCAGTTAATAAATTAATTGATAAAACAAACCTGTGAATTCTGTGTTTTGCCTAAGATCCTCAAGAACTTCAGGTTTTAACTTACTATTTTGTTTACCCATAACGATTTTTGTAATTTAAACTTTTCACCTACTAAACTAACTGTAGGTAAGAACCTGAAAATTAAGAAAATTCAAAACTGATTAAAAGTATAATGATGAATAATCAATATGATAGAATAATATAATCAACATTTAATAGTCAACATCTTCTAATATTATTAAGTATTAGTAAATTACCTTAGCATCACGCAATTGCTGTCTTATAAAATCATTAATAAAAAACCAAAATGTAGATATACTTTAATTTTCGTTAGAAAAATGGAAATAAAAAAAAAATAATGATAATGATAAAGTAAGTAAAAAGTGGCTGGTGGATCGAGTTATCAATAGAAATATACACTTTTAACATTAAAATCTTATAATGAGATTGCCATTGTTATACAACTACAAAAAGGTACAGACAAAAAAATACCATATATATTCACAAAGCATACAAAAAAAAAAGAAAAGAAAAAGACATTACATATAAACAAATGACTGGATTAAGTAACAAAGTTTCTTTACCTATAATTAATATAAATAAATTAAAATTAAATAAAATTTAACAATTTGTGCAGATAGAATAAGATAGAAGTAGAAAAATATAAAATTGTGCTTTTAATGTTTCAAAAACTCACAGCGAGGGAGATAAATCCATAAATTTCATTTTTTTTATCAGTAAAATAAATACAATATTTATATATTTATAAATATATTTTCCCATAAAATTCATGTTTTAGTTTGGTGAAGCAAAATCATTAGTCTAGAGGATGAAATAGTGCACAATAATGTTTGGAAAAGTTTTATATACAAAAAAATAAGTTTACAATAATGTAAAGAAGGGGAGTGGGATCTGATAAGCTATTTTATCTTTCCTAAACCTGAAAAGTCCAGTAAGGGAGTTTCAAACAGTAACAATTAATGAATTTCATGAATTTTATTTTAATCATTATTAATAAAATTACTTATCTAGGTAATCTCCCCAAGAATAAGATGAATAAGATTGTAATTATTTAAAAAGGTTGCGATAAAAGTTAACGCTTTCAGGTATTAAAAAGCACTAGTATTTGCTACATGTCCAGTACGATCCAGATATCAGATGATTAAGTACTTGGGAAAAGAGAGGAACCCACTAACGGCTTCAGGGCTCTAGGAAAGGAATCACAATTTTCTATAGTTAACATTATTATATTTTCAATATAATAAAAAATGCTTCCATAATACTTAATAGCAATCAAAATGGTAAATGATTATCGAATCTGGACATAATTAAAACTTGTCCACTTTTGCGTCCAGCACAAAAAATTTATACCCACTCATTTGAGTGTAAAATTGTAGGCAAGTAATTGAACACTTGTAACATTCGATTATCAGAAAATAAAGGGAAATAAAGCTTTAACATTTATGTACGAATATATATACATACAAATTATATAATAAAGAAATTTGCGCTCAAAAAAACACTTGGTGTATATTATTTGAGCTGTACATAAAGTGCTTTTATCATAATAATGTATTAATAAAAAATAATTTACAAAACATGCAGTATGTTTAAACAGTTAAAACAAAATGGCTTCTGGTTTAAAAAATATCATTTTGGTACATGTTTATATCAATAAAAATAAGAATAATTAGAACTTAAATAAAAAAAATTAATAAAAAAACTAGATAAATTTACAATATATCAGACTGAGAATTGCACTAATCTCGAGTCCCCAGGACCCAATATGTACACATAATTGAAACCTTGGCCCAATAAATGTATAAATATATACACAATAATTGAATGTGTTTGTGTGAGTGTGTGGATTTTGGTTTGTTATTTTATTGGTCCATTAAGGGGCGAGCATTTTGGAAAGCTCTTCATCTTGAAGGCATCCTTTGAGGAATTCATCTTGAGTCAGCTGGCCATCGTTGTTCTCGTCCATCTTAGCGAAGATGTTCTTAGCCCTTTCTTCAGCTGAATCTGCAGGCCTGTTGGACGAGCACGCTCCTAGCATATCATAGATTGCCTGAAAACGTCAACAGACAATTTAATTTATTAATGAAAAAAATTGAAACAGAAATATGAAATAAAAGTAAAGTTGAAAGGGCTGGCAATTGTCTGAATAGTTAATACTGAATACTTAACAATAATTATTCAGACTTGTAAATTATTAAAAAATAGAGATTAAACATTAAAAGAGAGGTAGGTTTGACGGAAATAAATATTACCTTTTATCTCTTAATACAAATTAAAACAAAATTTTTATTGGTATGGCATAAAATTATCTGCCAAGAATTGCCTTTACAATATAGAAAATGAAAAATAAACAATATTCTATTCCGGAATCAGAAACATTCTATATTTATAAGCAGATTTGTGATATTTATATAATAATAATAAATAATAATCTTTACTATTTAGTTAATCAGTTTATTTAAGTTCATTATGAGTTTTATTTTATTTTATTTTTCTGTTGGCATTACAAACCTTTTAGATCTTTTGCCGCCTTAATAAGCCTGTTCTATCTCACCCTATCTTGGACTTTCTTGATTTCTTTCCAGTTATCTGCGTGCGGCTCTATTGCATCTTTGTTGATTCGAACTATCAATCTGGTTTTTGGCCTTCCACGTGGCCTTTCACATACTATTGAGACATTCATTGTCAATTCCAAATGGATTGCTCTGAGCTACAGGCCTTGCCCATCTCAATCTCCATGCCTTCAGTTTCTGAAAGCAGCTCTTTATTAGTCTTTCTTCTTCATGAGTTAGTACTCTGATCCTAGATAGCTCCAGTAATCGTGCAGAGGACTTTTCTCTCAACTCTTTCGATTCTTTTTACTAGAGTTAGAGTGTCAGGTCTCACAGTAATCATAGCATTCATTAAGGCTATGGTGGAGTATACTTATTTGAATTTGTCTAGTTTCAGGACAATTTCTCTTGTATGCAGACCATATTACTGAGATGGAATTTTCGGCTTATTATCAAATATTTTGTTTTGTCTTCATTTACTTGTAGGCCGATTCGCTCTGCTTCTCTTATCAAAGTTTTGGCAAGTTTCTTAATGCCCAATCATAGTTTCTTATTTTTATCTTAAAATATTTAACTAAATATTCTTGTAAAATAGAACAAACAGTGAAATAGTGATACATATCTTCAATTAGATTTAAATTAGAAAGATTACACAATTTTTGTTGATCACTTCCCATTACACTATAAATAACTCAAGTATGCATAATATAATAATGGTAATGATTATTAATGCTAAAAGAAGTTTCTATTCTATTAATCTACAGCAGTAGATCTTAAAAACAATTTTAAAATTTGATCATAATTAATCAACCATTTTTACAAAAAATGGAACTAACCTGTACAATTTTGGTCATTTCTTGAATGTCTATAACACCATTGCCATCTACATCATACATCCTAAAGGCCCACTTTAACTTTTCCTCTGGTGTACCCGATGATGTAACGTCTATTGCCAACAAAAACTCCTATGAACATTAAAAAAAAAAAAAGAATTAATATACCAATTGAAGGAATATAAATGCTAATAAATAGAAAAAGCTTAAAAGAAAATGAAAATGATGCAGAAAAAATCAATTTTTTAATTCATCGAACTTATACAAATTAATAGTAAAGAATAATTGTTATGTTGAATAGTAGAAGTAGGTTGGGGGTGTGGTCAGAGATGAAAAATTACAGATAGATAAGGATCCTTATTTTATACTTGTGTAAAATAAATCAATAATTAAAAATAATAATATAAAATTAGGTTTGTTCTGCTTCTGTAATTAGCTGTAAAGACCAGAAATTTGTCTAAATTCTAAATTTTATAAGCCATTCTGACAACACTGGCACTGACCAATTGACGTTGTCATCTGGTTGAATCAAATTGTTAACCTACTCTCTGCTAAATCATTGGTTGAGAATTACTTCCTCAAGGCCCTGGGTTATATCGGTCAGTAAATGAATTCAAGTTTGACAGATACAATTTTTTTTTAAATAATAATAAAAGCTTAGAAGACCAAGAGATCCTTACCCATAAGATGCAACAATAATACCAGAACAACATTTTTAAAGTTTTAGAACAATGAACTTGAGTGAGATCTCAAAAAATATTAAATAATACCTCTACATTAGGTAGCTAAGAATAAAAAATAAGGAATTTAGATTAGGAGAAAAAAATAGCATGGTTAACAAGGCTGGTGTGAAGCTACCTCCCCCCCCCCAAAAAAAAAATGGTAAAATATAACTATGTTTTACAGAAAAAAATATTAAATACTATCTCTTAAAGTATTCTTGTTCGTGTAATTATATTTAATAAGACTTCAAGAACCATTTAAACACTATTTTATATAGGTAGTTAATTTCTTTCCTTTTTTTTCAAATTAATTATCATTATATGTATATAAAAAAAAAATCTTTCAGGCTGAAGCCCCTCCCCAAAATTAAAACCTGGATCCACTAGTGGTGTGAAGAATCAATATGTAAAAAAAATTAACAGAATTTTGGACAACTCTGTATATAAGTTCAGAAAAGACCCAATGTAAAAAATTAAAATATAAGGGAGTGTATCATATTTTTCCCTTTTCTTCTTTTGTGTCACCCTGCAGTGCCTATCAGCGTAGGAGAGTGTTTAGCGAGGACTACCACTGTTCTCTGTTTCAGATCCTGGCGTCATGGAAATCCTTTCCTCTACTTTTGCACATAACATATTCCAGGTATGACATCCTTGCTCTAGGCAAAGTCCATAATTTTTAGTGAATCTCCATCCCGACAACATGACTGAACCACTTCAGCTGGCGAGCCTCTACAAACTCCTTCACTGAAGGGACTTCTAGTTCCTTCCTCATCTTCTCATTACGGATGCAGTCTTTTCATATCTTCCCCGCAATTCTTCGAAGAAACCTCATTTCCACAGCTGTCATCCTACTCTCCTGTTTATCTTTTATTGTCCAGCTTTCAACTCTATATAGGAGTACTGGCAACTTACTTAAAGATGTGAAGCTTCAGGTTTTTGCCCATCTCTTTCC